CAGAATATCATTCCAAAGATTTCGAATGGGAATTTCTGAAGAATTTGGTAGAGAATGATCCTTCTCTCTCCCACCACATGAATGACCAACAACACGATTTTCGCAAATATCGACCAGATTCGCAGGCATGGCAAGACTTCCACGCCCGTCACTCCTCGGGAAAGTTCTTCAAGGTACGCTCATATGTTGCTTCCCTTTAGGTTTGCTTTGTTTTCGTCGCATATAGTTTTGGATGTACTCAGATTGATCTTAGATTTAGGGCAGAATGCTTTTGACTCACCCGTTTATGCGAATGCATATAGGAAAGAAGGTATCTCTTGAAGGAATTTCCTGAGTTAGTTTCCTGTGGAGAGAATTCCAAACTCTTGGAAGTCGGTTGTGGTAATGGGAGTTCTGTGCTTCCGATTTTGCGGTAACTCTTCATTTGCATATAGCTGATTTGTTTTTTCTATCAGCTAATTCACTGCTTAATCTTTCCGTTATCATTATCTACATGTGTATCTTTGCTTTCTTTTGGTGCAGCGGAAGCGGATGCAAGAACATTACCGTATATGCTTGCGATTGTAGCAGTGAGGCTCTTGTTAGGACTAAAGAAAACATTGATCGCACTATTGGTACACTTGATAACTTCCATTCATTCTGTTGTGACTTTTCAAGGTCTGAATTCCCAAATTGGGTGGCATGTCATCATTGTCGAGACAACTTTAAGCTTAAGCAACATTCAGGTTTTGGTCCTTGTCCACCAATTTCATCCTACATAACATGCACATTCATCTCTTATACACGTCTTACTAGTCTCGTAAGTCTTATGTTTCTTCATTAGCAGGAGGGAGTGAAGGCATGCAGGTGAACTACAAATGTTCATTAAATGAACATTGCATCGGTGGGGTGGATTTTGTCACTCTGGTATGTAAACATTCCTCTTTTAGTTAAAAGACCAAACAGTGCGATCAATAGTATTGCAACCTTTCTTAATGCCATATATCTGCAGTGGATCTAGATTGGTGGGTCATCTCATGACTGTTTAATGTAGTGACACTGACAATATAGACGTTAAACTAAAATTTATGGCGAAAATATGTCTTTCATGTTCTATATATCTGATTCTTAACCTTACCATTAGGCTCTTTCGAGATGGGTTATATGCTCTGCTATGGGAACATTGCTCATTGAAACCCGGCCTTTATCCCAATTTTTTTCCTTCAGATTTTTACATTGTCGGCAGTGCCTAAAGAATGGATGCCGAGAGCTATAAAGGAATGCTTTTCTGTGCTGAAACCTGGTGGTTTGCTCCTGTTCAGAGACTATGGTAATTGTTGAATCAGCATGAAAGCTCACCTTTAAGAGTTTTATCACACATATGGTATACATCTAGGCTAAACACTTTGACTAAAATTCAGGATTATTTGACATGACTATGCTGCGGTTTGAGCCAGAGAAACTTATAGGGTTCAGGGAATACCTGCGGTCAGATGGAACACTTTCCTATTTCTTTTGTCTCGACACTGTCAGAAGACTGTTTACAGATGCTGGTTTCATTGAGGTAAACCTACTCTGATTTTTGCGACTGATGCATTGCTTTTTCCGGTATTCTATTCGTTCACTTGTTACCTCTATTGGGATTGAATAGCAGTTTCTTTAATATTTTTTTATCGCGTGTGCAGGATGAGCTTGAAAATTGTTGTGTCAAAGCACTAAACCGGAGAAAGGGTAAGAACATGTACCGAGTTTGGGTTCATGGGAAATTCCAAAAGCCCTTTTAAACTAAGCAAGTTGAAAGGCCAGGCCAGTGCTGGTTAAGTATTGAATGACTAGAAAAGTTAATTTCTTTCACTTTTCAGAGAAGCATATCACAACTTTAGAAGTATTAAAAAAAAAAAATTTGAAATGCTGATTGCAGTTTGATATAATCAATTAGTTATGCACCCTTGTCACATTTTGGAAAGTGTCCCTTTTATCAAATTAGCCAGTTTAATGAATGCTACCTCTGGATTTATTCATGTTTAATGAATGCTACCTCTGGATTCATTCATATTGTCAAATAGTGTCATTTGCAAATCTACCTTTATTTGTTGGTGATTGGTGATAAG